ATACTAAAAATAAATACAGGTAATATTCATCTTAGTAATTGAACCCCTACTATTTCTCAATCTTCTCACTGGGAAGACATCTACTCTACATAGGCCTTCTCAAAGCTAAACTATTTTTAAAATTAGAAGCAAAATTATACAGACCCCAGCTGCGAAATACTTTTCTCCAATTAAAGTGAAAAACCACACTAAATTTCTCTCTAATATATTCATAATAGCATTAAGCAGACACTAAAAAAAAGAATCAGACCAAGTACTCTGAATCTTTAAAATTTTCAAAATTTTTGATTTGAGAATCATAAAGATGATAATAAAATGAAAATGCAATGAGAAATGTTAATTTGATGAACGATAAAGGGATTCATAAATATATTAATGGAATACAAAGTTTGTAACTAAGTACAAATGAATGATGATATTTACTTCAAGGCAGTAATGAACTTCCACAGAGAGAAGGTGTAACATGACCAGGAAGAAATGTCAATGTTTTCTAGTAGCTGTTAAAATGCTTTATTTGAATGTGGACTGTCCAAAATCCAATAAACAATCTAGTTTGTGGACTCAGAAACCCCCTATGCTGCACATGCAAAAGTAAACCATTGAGAGGAAAACAGGAGAGTCTTCCTACCTAGGCTCTTCCTCCTGACATATTAGAAATACTACTTGAGATCTTGAAATTTCAAATATTTCAAATACTTGAAATCTGGACTCAAGTTTGATGTTCCTGTGCCTGGTGGATTCCACTGGCAACCAAGCAGATTCATCACAGTTGTCATAACACAGCACTTACCTTGAGTTGAGAGTGAACTTGGTATTATAGCAATCAGACTGGCTCAACTAGTGGGAGACCTGCTGTGGCACTGATTATAAGGTAAAGCCAAATATTTATCTTCCCTATGTCTTGGTTTCTTAACCTAGAAGTAGTCCTATTCATGGACAGTTTAAAACTAATGAAATAATCAGAATCATATCAACAACCTCAGCCTGTCTGGGTAAAGATATGGAACTTTCAGCCCCTGCCCCAAATCCCATCCTCTGGGAGGGGAGAGTTAATCGCCAAATGCCGATGATTTAATCAACAGTGCCTATGTAATGGAAGCTCCATAAATATCCTAAAAAATGAAGTTCAGTTGGTGAACACATCAAGATGCTGGGAGTATGGCATGCTCAGAGAGGGCATGGAAGCTGTGTCTACCCTTCTTCCTTGAAACTGCCTTATTCTTCTCTTCTGTTTGACTGTTACTGGGTTCTAGCCTTTATAATAAACAGGTAATAGTAAGTGAACTGCTTTCCTGAGTTCTGTGAGTTATTCTAACAAATAATTGACTCTGGAGGCTGAAGTAATGGGACCCCCAACTTAGAGTCTATAGTTCAGAAGCATAGGTAGTCCAGACTTGTGACTGGAGTCTGAAGTGAAAGAGGCAGAATGGGGCCCTTTATCTCTGGGGTCTGGGTTAGCTCCATGTAGTTAGTATCAGAATTGAACTAAATTATAGGACAGCTAGTTGATGGCTACAGAGAGCTGAAGCATTAATTGATCATCTGACACCACACATTTGGTGTCAGAAGTGTGAGGAGGAACGACTGTGCAGCATAGGCTAAGACGATTGTGGATATCCAAAAGAATCAGTTACAAGTTAATATAAGTACATAAAAATACCATAAGCTGGGAAAAATGGTTAATTGGTTATTAAAATACGATGAGATGAAAAATCACCAATGCCAAATATATTCCCAAATAAATGCATTGAAGATGTTAAATGATAAAAACTGTACACAATTAAATATTTTCCAATATACTTATATGACAGCATAAAGCAAGGATCCCTAGAATTACTGTAGGTATACCTATACTTAGGCATACCACCCTATTATTCTTTATCCTATCATCCTTGGCATGCCTCAATTCATTAAAATGGCCAAAATTTTTCAAATTTTTCTTCATTTAGGATTGCCATAATTTAAGATTGCCATCATCACAAAAACACCACCGCATTCCAGAAGACTTCTTAATTATGGCATCTTGGTAAAGGGGAAAAAGCCCAAGTATTAGTATCTGATAGACCCATCTTGGAATCAGCCACACATCACACGTGATCTTGGGCAAGCTACTAATCTTATCCCACCTTCAGAATTCTCAAATAAAATAAGAATAAGAATGATAAATGCACAGTTATTATTAATAATGCAAAAGCTGTGTGTTTAAGTTAGAGAGAGGGACCTTCCCAACAAAAATGGCTTTGGGATCTAGAAGAGTAGTGAAGGGGCCTGGGACTAATTTCCAAGCTCTTAACACCATTTCTAATTAGACTTGGAAGACTACAGAGTTAAAATAAGTAGAAGAGTAAGAGTCTATTATAAACTGCCTAAAAGGATATCTGTCTGTGTACATACCCACATCTTTAAATTTACAAACCATCAATAAATGCTAGTTACCTATAATAGTTATACAATTGGTATTTCCTTACATAAGTATATAATTACTCTACGAATGTTAGTTTATTTTTCCAATCAATTCTAAGTTCAATGAACATCAAATCTTTTTATAGTACTTCTTTTGAATGTTTCACAGTCTAGGAAACCAGTTGGTATACAGTAATTTACACCCTTAGAATCATAGGTGCATTAAGAGTTCCTAATAACCCTAAAGAGGAAGAAATGAGACTGCCTTAATTGCAAAGATAACAGTGGCCATCATACTACTGTTGTGAGCAAGGAGAAGGGGAAGTGAAAAATTCCTGAGACTGAGCCCTAAAGGAGTGTGGATATCCACCAAATGGGAAAATGGAACACCCAAAATGATGTCCTGCACTGAACTGGGCTGTGAGGAGAGTTGGAGGTTTTGGAAGAATAGTGGACTATGGAGGAAAAATTTAAAGAGAGTTATGTCAGGGCTTCTTGAGTAAAGTGATGGGAGGTGAGAAGCTTGAGGACGCAGCTTACAGACTGATTCAAGCTTAGGGTGGCTCAAAGGAGAGCAATTTTCATCCAAGAGTAAGACCTACATAGAAATAACTTCATTTTAACCCCCCAGAGAGCTCAATGAATCAGCTCTGGTGTGGTACTAGCTGAATGTTTTGAAGAAAATATTTTTTGTAAATATGAAATACTTTATAATTCTCAAAAATCTCTTATTTCAAATGTATCTGTTTTGCATTAAGAACAGATAATTATGTATTGCTACATTTCTGTCAAAAACCTAGATTGAGAAGTTGCTAGAGATTATTAGATAGATTTAACACACCATGTTGGTTTCTAAATGATCACAACATCCATCGTTAGGCATCTGTAAGGTATAAAGCAGTGAGGAGAAACAAGGAGTTGTCAGCCAAAGGAATGACTGTTATTTTAGTGGCAGAAACAACATAGTCAGAGAATTGAGAGATGTGTGGTTACAAAATTAATTTTCAATTTTCCAAAATTCATCATAATTAAGGGGCCTTTCTTAAACCTGAATATGAAAGTTATCCCGATATGACAGTGGGTTGCCTAGAGCTCAAAAGGAAGAGAATAAATCAGGGCCCAAACGTGAAGCAATGAACACAGCTCTTTTTGTCTCCATAGATGGGCTGTGTGTTTAAGTTCCAAAGAGGGACCCTCCCAACAAAAATGGCTTTAGGGGCTGGAAGAGTAGTGAAGGAGCTGGGACTACTTTTCCAAGCTCTTACACCAGTTCTCATTAGACCTGGAAAACTCCAGAGTTAAAATAAGTAAGAGTATGAGTCCATTATAAGCTGCCTAAAAGGATACCTCTCTGTGTACATACCTACATCTTTAAATTTACTCCTAGGAGCTTTAAGATACTTAAAGGTCACTCAGTTTATACCGATATTTTAATAAAGTGTTTTTATTTTTTAGAAAAGTTTAAATGTTGTACTCTGGGATTTATCTTTCTTTCAACTCTCCATATTTGAGGAAGGAGATTAATCATCAGTGCTACAGATCTACCCTGGGGCTAGCACAAAATGGTAGTAGGTATCAGAAATGTCTTAGAAGAAGATAGAAAACACCCCTTGGAAGGAAACGCCTGTTTGTAGCTCCAGTCAATTGGAGTGGCAGAGGCACAAATAAACAGGAAAAAAAGAACCAAAACTTACTGTGGAAATATTCCACACCACTGTACTCATATATTACATGATACACACAAAAAAATGCATACTATATAATTCTCTCTTGGTATGGTATGACTAAGTTTCACTCATTCTTAATTACCTTGAACCTGTTATCCACATACATTTTTTTTTTTCTGTTTTTTACTTGCTATTCTCCCAATTGTTTCTGAACAATTTAGTTAAAGAAATTTTGATCTTCTGCATCAGTAAAAAGAGGTAGAAAGTTAGCCAAATGTTCTCAAAACTTATTGGGAAACCTTCTGCTTAGAGGAAAACCCAGTTATCAAGCAAATATTTTATTTCATTTGTTTTGTTTTGTTTTTTGTCTGCATAAATGTAACTCAAAGAGCTGAGAAAACAATCTGTGAAGTATGAGTAGACCATGTTCAAAGTTTTCTCTGGGGCTTTATAAAGGGATCAAACCTAAGTTTTCTTTATACATGGTCATTTACCTTCTTCTTTATAATACCCAGGACAGCATGCTTCCTATGACCTAAAAGGCTAGACTGACTTTGCCTATTTTGGAGATTACAAAAGTGGCAATGGGGGCTGCACGGACTTGTCCAAAGTCATACAGATGATAAAAGGGATAGCCTGGCTTCTCACTGATTGTTCCTTCTACCACCAGCACAACCCATATTTGGACTCTAAGAAGGATGTGAAGACTCTAAGAAGGATCTTTTGACAACAAGGCATAATGCAGTCTCCATACCTTAGAGAGGCACCACTCTACTATCTTTGAAATAGAATAGAATTTTCCAAGCAAAGAACCTGGAAATGGGGCCTGTGGACACCATGGGGACAGAACAAGGCAGAAAGCATTTCCCGTAAATACATCTATGTCCAATGCCCTCGACTGAAGAACATTGTCATTTCAAAGTCACTTACCCAAATCTGAAGCTTGATTCTCTTTTCATTTTTGAATACAGTTTTTACTTTGAAATCGATCCCAACTGTGCTGACGAATGCGGATGTAAAGGAGTCATCTGCATAACGGAACAGGAAAGATGTTTTCCCCACACTGCTATTGCCGATGATGAGCAATTTGAACATGTAGTCAAAGTTCTGATCAGAGGAGTCTTTCTGGCCATACCGGGCATCTTGGGAAGAGGCCATCTGTGGTTTAAAAAAAAGAGAGAGCAAGAAACATGGGTCAGTCTTCCATTCGATATGAGGCTTGCAGCACACTCGTTATTGGCCTTGCCAAAAACAGATATCAGACCACTCAGGAGACCAGTTGAGAATCCTCCCCAGTTTCCCTCTGATGCTGGTATCCATGGCAATAATTGCCTGCTGGAAGACAGAACAGCAAATCTTACAGCTCTTTCCAGCTGTGTTGGTGTTTGTCACAGCTCAGCATTCAGAACCAATCAAAGACACCAAAGGAGACATCTATAAAGGTTACATGAAAAGCAAAGATATGAGGAACTGGCCAGAGCATGTGGGCTCTGAAACTTTATAATCCTAGTGATGGACACACCAAAGTGGCTGAACAGCAGGGTGTTTCTTACTGAATCATCTGAATATTAGAATCTCTCTTATTTCCTAGGAAAGTGTACCCAAAGCATGTATCTATTTCATCTGTTAACATCACATTAAAGCAACATCCTAAAATAAATGGCAATTCCTTCAAATTAAAAATGATGATGGCAAGTATTTATGGTTCAAACACTGTGTGAGAAACTTATCTAACCTAACAACAACCCAATGAAGTAGATTCATATTTAAATGAGAAAATTGAGGCTCAGAGTTATTGAGTAATGTGCTCGAGTTCACACAGGTGATGAGTAATAGAAGACAGAATTCAAATCAGGTAATGTCACGACAGGGCTCATGTTCTTAACCTCTATCCTCGTTCTCAATGATGACTAGGGAGATATGCACATCTGCTCTGAAAGACAATGTAGGAAATGTTCATTATGAAATATCACTGAAGAATCCTAGCTGGGTTCAAATCTTGGCTCTACCATTTCCTGGCTCTGGGACTTTGGGTTGGTTTATTATTTTAAAATGGCATGCATCAGTTTTTTTCCTCTTACATGAAATAGAAAAAAATATGATCTAACTTGGAACATTTGTAAAAGAATAGATGGCATATCTGTAAAGCAGATATGTGAAGCACCTAGGATGGCATAGAGAATGATCTTCATTATTAATTATAAATGCTTTAGATGGATGTTGATTTTTTTCCTCACTTGATCACCTTAATATCTCCAAAGCTGATGCTGCATTATTTCTAAAGGATTTTATTCATTTATTTTAGGGAGAGAGAGCAAGCAGAGGGAGGAGCAAAAGGGGAGGGAGAGGGAGAGAATCTTGAGCAGACTCTGGGCTGAGCACAGGGCTAAAGTGGGGCTCGATCCCACAACACTGAGATCATGACCTGATCCGATACCAAGAGTCAGATGCTCAACCAACTGAGCCACTATGGCGCCCAGTGATGCTGCATTTAAGTGCCATTTGGCTCAAAAGAAGTGTTTAGATGGTGAATCCCACTGATTAGTACACTTACTTACATTTTATGTTATGAATTCTTTGGCAATTGCTGTGTTATCCAACATAATCCAATATAGAAGCCACTAGTCCTTTTATTTAATTAAAGTTAATTAAAGGGGCACCTGGGTGGCTCAGTGAGTAAGCCTCGGCCTTCAGCTCAGGTCATGGTCTCAGAGTCCTGAGATCAAGCCCCACATTGGGCTCTCTGCTCGGCAGGGAGCCTGCTTCCACCTCTCTCTCTGCCTGCCTCTCTGCCTACTTGTGATCTCTCTCTCTGTCAAATAAATAAATAAAATCTTTAAAAAAAAGTTAATTAAAATTACATAGAATTTAAAATTTAGTTCCTTAGTCACACTGGTCACGTTTCAAGTGCACAATAACTGCATGTGGCCAGAAGCAACAGTATTGGACAGGTACAGAGCATTGGCATAACTGCAGAAAGTTCTATTGGGCAGTGCTAGGCTAGGCAGATAGTCTCTTTTGCACTTCCAATAAAATCTGATTAATAATTATCTTTCTTCTGGGGAAGGTGGTCAAGGGAGAAGCCTCAGAAGTTAGTAGATAGTAGAATGCTTGAATCAGTAAGTAGTACTCAACCTCATCTAAGATATCAGCTGTTGAAGTCATGTGCATTGTGTTTATCCACAATTAAGGGAAAGGAGAAAAAGGAGATGGTGAGATAACATATTCTCTTTCTACAAATACTTAGTGCCAGTAAGAGAACACAATTATATGTATAAGAACATAAGAATAAGGATAAACAGAAAATCTGTATGTATTATTAAATTTAAGGATAATACAAATTTTGAATGCATTTCACACTTATTATATATCAGCTTAAGCATTTGTTTTTTTAAGTCCATGTAACCACACCGATGTCTTCAATAATTACAACTTGGAATGAGTGTTGACGAGTGAAACTGGGCCACTACAACAGGCAGATATTATGATTTTCCTTTCTGGCCCAGGCATCTACTGGCTAAAGTAAACCTCGCCCAACACAAGCAGCCAGCCAAGGACAAAAACAGGATTATAACTCTGGACTGTAAGTTTGAACAACGGTGTCTTCCTCTGATGACTTCTGAAGCCCCAGAACAGTCAGGAAACTGTTTCATGTGACTACCCCATTCCTGCAGACATAGTCCTTTCACCAATTACTACAACCCTGCTCCCTTCTGAAAGTGCTAAGTTCAGCCAGGCCTACAAATAAGATCTTTTATATGAACCAGCCCAGATGCTAGGTCCTAGGTTAAGAATGTTCAGCTAAGCCACAGCCAGAAAATAGACACTACAACTTTTCTAGAGCTGCCCATACTCAGCCCTATAGCCTACCATATACTGCATCACATCACTATAAGGTGGTATCCAACTGAGTCCTGTGGCTCTCCAGGATGCATCACAAGAAAACATGACCTACAGCTGCTATCAATTTCAAGTCCTATTCCAAAAGTAGATTCTAAAACCTGTAGCAATATCAACATCATCAATATATAGACTTTTTGAATATAATTACAGAGATTTAGATGGAGAAAACCATATTGGGGTTTTCTCTGGTATGAGAAATTGAAAACATTTAATTTCAAGGGCTGATACACCTTGCAATGCTGGCAGCAAAGAAGGTGGTGGGGCATGGAAGGTGTCTAGGATGAAGGAGGACAAAGCTGGCAAACAGGGGTATCCAGAACCTCTACAGGACTAATCAGAAGTGTTTCCTAACATGCTATTCTTGGAGATAAATTTTTTTTTTTTTTACTATTTCTTGATTTATATACCCAGTAAGATTCACAAAGAGCCAATAAAATGTGCATTGGGAATGCACGGGTCTTTCATTAAAATTCAGAATAATGAAATACATCCTGGCCCAGAGGATTGAGAAAAAAACATCCCTAATCTTACTGAGAACAGAAATGAAGTGGTTTGACAGCATATGAATGTCAAAGACACTTGTCTTCACTATGTCAATTTACTGACACTTCTAAATACTAAGTCATGTGAACATTCCATAGTTTTCATGGAAAAATACAGCTGATATTTGAAACATGAGTACACATGAAGTAACCTCCCCGAAAGTAAATCAGATATCATAAAATATATATAAAAGATAACTCTTTAAAAAAAGATGACTCTTTAAATTGCATCAATCTTGAATTAATTAAAAAAAATCAAGGAGTTGGAAAGCATTTTCAAGGTAGTCCAACTTTCTACTCATTCCAAGAGTCCCTTCTGCTGGCATCTCAGGATCTCGGGTTAGTATTCTAGCCAGGCCCGTCACACAGAGTGACAAAAAGTTTACGAGGTTGTGAAGCACCATAATCCACTGCTGAACTGCGATTATTATAAATTTCTTTCTTAGATTAAAGTTAAAATCTCCTCCCTATAGCTTCTGCCCACGTGTTCTAGATTCTGCCTTATAAATCAAGACAGTTGATTTTTCTCCCATCTGAGAGAGCTTCAGGTGACTGAAGGAACAAATCACAGCCCCATACACTTTCTCTCTCTTGGATGATCCCAACTGCCTTCCCCTTTTCCCCAAGAAGTCATGTTGGAAAAATCCCCCACATCCTGCTAGATTAACTGACATCTCTCCAGATGTTAAAGTCCCATGTGTGGCTCCACAAATTTGTCACAATATTCCAGATACAACAGCGCAGAATAAAATGAGACTATTATATTTTATCACAGCTCACTTAAGTCTTCTCAAATGCTCAGGACTTTTTTCACATTAACTTTAATAAACATAGGTTTTCCTTATTCCCATTCCATACTTGGGTAACTGGTTTTCTTTAATGGAAATGCCAACCTTTATATGTACCCTGTTACATTTCCTCTTGTTTGTTTTGATTTAAAATTCAATTTTGACCTGATAATTTTATGTCCTTTCATCAAAACACTGGCTATCCCTTCCAGATTTATGCCATTCCAAGTTTGATCAGTATGTATTTTACATATTCATTTAAGGCTCTGATCAAAATGCTAATCAGCTTGCAGACAAACAACAATAAACCTTTTACTCCACTGAATATATATAAATCTATAGATGAGACCTCTACAACATGTCATCAAAGAATTTGGCAAACTTAAAGCAGACCTTAACCTCTGGGACTTAGTGCACTGAGAATCCATTGTGGTCCCATTAGGTGTGCTTTCGTTCAACAGCAGGTGAACAAATCCTGGATTTAATTGATGTGCCAGTTTTAATTTTAATCCTAGTTTCCCCAGAAGTCCTACTAACTAGGGACCAAACAGGTTACCTCTGACTAACACATGCAATCACAGATTATTTCAGAATTTTTGACATTTGTTTTTCAGAATAAACAGGAAAAGCAAATTACTTCCAGGGATTCCTCTGGGCACTTAAGAATCTAAATGCCATTAAGCTATCTTGTGGATCTCATGAGAAAAACAAAAAGAAGTCATTCTAAATGTACTACATTCTCACCACTACTAGTGATAACAGCCTGAGGGTCAATGAGAAGATGAACAAAGATGGATAAATCATCCAGAAAAGGACATGCAGTTCTTTGAAACTGGAAGGATGAAAGTGAGGATGGGACGTATGTATTGGAAGTAGAGAAATACATCAAGTGATTTCAAATCTTAATCATTGTTGCCTGGGGAAA